TAATCATCATGTCCACATTGTAGATGGAGAAACTAAGGCACAAGTAGACACTAAATCACTTGTTCAAGGTCACAAGGCTTATAAGTATCAGAGAACCAGAAGATGAATGTAAGAAATCTAATTCTAAGATATGATGGTAATTAACCACCTCACAGTACCACTTAAACATTACTTAAATGCTTCTTTTCAGATTCTAATCACTTAACTCTAACAAATAAATTCTTTAATTTTGGTTGGAGTTGACCCTCATACTCATCATTTCTGTCCTGCTTCTTCTTTTCAGTGTGCTGGGGATTAAATCCAGGGCCTAACACATACTAGGCAAGGGCTCTATTTCCAAACTATGTCCCCAGTCCCTTATTTATTTTATTTTAAGACAGGGTCTGGCTAACTTGCCAAGGTAGCCTTGAATTTGCAATTTTTCTGCTTTAGTCTCCTGTGTGGCCGGGTTTACACCATGCACAATCCCTATCAGGCTTTCATTCATGAATAGGCAAACAAAGACTCGACAGTATTTTGCTTTAAGGAAATTTAAATGTCCAGTTGCCACCAATGATACCTTTTCCTGTTCTGTGTTGTTCCACAGACCTCCTCCATTTTGCCACCTCGACAACCTCTAGTATCCTATAATAATACTGCTTTATTAATGTTTTCTCCAACCTTCTTAATTTCGTTCTCCAGCATGCTGCGTTTTCATATAGATAATGCACCTACCTGATACATAGTTTCATTCACTTATGTCAACATACCTTTGAAAATACCATTTCAATCATAAATACTAGCTCAACAATGTTTTACCTTAGAATTTTTACCATTCTACCCTAACTATGCCCTAGAATGTTGAAAATCCGAGATGTAAGTTTCAATTATGATTATCTTTTAAATTATTCAAGAGAGGTTTTGTTAACCTCTGCATTATTTCTGCATTTCAGTAGCTAACTTAACAACTGGATAAGGACAATGCCTATTTAAAAATGAAAAACAACAAAAGAGAAAACTTCTCCTTTACCAATCACTTGAACCTTAATATGTCAATATATGATTTCTTGTTCATGGAAGCTAGAGCAGAGGACAAGTAAGGAAACTGTGGCCTTAGCTGTGGTTCTGTCACCAACTTTCTGCTTGAATCTTGAAAGATATTTGGATTGTATCTTTCCTTAATTCATAATATATTCATGATATTAATTATTACATATAAAAGTACTTTTTAAAGGTATTCATGATTATAGTTATTCAGTACTTTGTTAGACACTTAATTCATTTTGCTGCACATGGATGTAAATGGATACTATAAAACCTTCAGATGTATAAAGAATCAAATAATAATATCTGAGTATACCAAAAATGAGATACCTCACAACATTTATAACTGTTATAGGAATAACTGTAATGGATTATTCTAAAAAGTTGATAGAATTATGCCAAAACACTTATTTACTTTATAAGTGAGTAATACATAAAAAATCTTAAGAATATAGCTCTGCAAATGAAACAGTATTAGAACCTTAAACAATAAATGATTGTGACAAAGGGCATAAGTTTTGTATCCTTCAGAAGAATTAGAAAGCTTCACATCACCTAGTGACCTTGGTGAATGGCCTCAAAGTAGGAGCACAGCCTGGAGGAGAAAAGGCAGTCTGGCTTCATAGTATTAGCTTCTTGATTTCTAGCTCCTGTTTCTATCCAATTTTTCATTCTTCTCTAAAATAATGTGTCTATCTTCTTTTTTGTTTCTTCAAATTTGTGGTCATTTAATTCCTTACAGACCATTAAAAAACCATGGATATAAATGTGTTCACACAATGAATCATGACACAAGTTGAATGATAAAGAAATACACTAGAAAACCTTAGAACATGCCATTTTCATCAATATTCTTAAGTAAATTATAGCTGGATCTATCATTTATAGGTTTCCAAGGTAACATGGTTCATTGTATACAAATCTATGTAAATGTCTATTTTTCATACTTTTTGAAAGAGCTATCGGTAGAAAGTTCTGATCTCCAAATAAGATGAAAAGATTATGGAGAAATAATGACATTGATGGGTTAAATGAAAGTTGCCCTTAGAAGAATGTCTTCCATAAAATTTGGAGACTAAGAAATCTTTAGTTTGATTTGGCTGATATTTAATGATTACAGACATAAGCCTAACTTCTTTTTTTTTCTTTTCCCTTATGAATTGATAACCGAGTTGAAGGAGGTATTACAAAAGTGCTAGATAAAATGTAGTTATCCTTTTATAGGGTAATGATGCCTTACTTCTAATTCTAAAGCACTGGGGAGATGGTAGCATATATCATTTGAAATATCATTTTACACTCGAGTATTATCATTTTATTTAAAAATAATCTCTTAAAAATGAATAGATAATGAGGTGAGAAAATATTTAAAGGACAAAAATATATTTCTGAAGAACAGAGATAAGCATACTGAATTATATCCTCATTTTAACACAACTGAAATTGAATATTGCTCTACTGGAAGATGTTTGTTTATTTTATTTGTTCTTTTTTGATATACCTGATAGTAGAGTATATTTTGACATATTTATACAAACATGGAGTAGATCTTATTCTATTAGTTTCAGTTTTCTGAACTATGAAATCAAGATAACAGGCTTGGCTCATTACACTGCTATGAACATTTGATAAGAGCATATTTTACAGCACAGTGTTTTGTATACAGTAAAAGCATTAAATAAATGCAGGATATTTTTTTCTTACATTAGATTTTTACTGCTCTATTATAACTCTGTGTAAATACACTTTTTATTATTGTTGTTGCAGAAGGTTTCCTAGAAATCTGAAACTTTAAAATGGAAAATATTATGAGATATGATGACACCATCAAGATTATCTTATACAAAAATTGTTGTATTATTGACTGTTATTTCATTCACATTACTGATATCCACAATGTATAAAATATCTGATACTTAACTATTTTCTGCCCTTTATGTTAGAGATACAAATGGAAATAATATTTTAAAAATGTGAAAGATAATAAAAGCTAATTTCAAAATTGTAAAACTAAAACCTTATAGAAAAAAAAAGAAAAAGAGAGACCAAATTAAAGTGAATTATAACTTCAAGTAAGGTGTTTATATCACACAACATTAAGGTAGAACAAAGTTTTGAGGTTTGGCAACATTAGATGATGCACATCACATGCACATATACACTCGTGAATACATGCAGATGTATTTAGAGAAAAGCCATTAAGACATTAAAATTCTTCAATAAATGTGCTTAACTCTAACAACTAATATGTTGCCATGTATTAGAATTATATAATTAAATAAACTTTATAGATACACAAAAAATATTTCTTTTACTCTTTCAATAATGATAATTGGTATTTTTCTGAAAGATGCCTAAGGAAAATTTAAAATAATAATTATTTGCCAAATTAAATATTGTTGATGCCAATGATGAATCATCTTTTGGCAGCAGTGCTTGTGTTTTTATACTATGCACTCAGTCAGAAGCTAGATTATAGAGCCATTACCTTTTCCTCTCCCCCAAAATATCTTTATTACTGCCTTTACCATATGTTTTGCTTCTTCAAAGATAATAAAGTGGCAGATGTATCATCATAGAGACACCACATATTGGAAAAGTGAGCTCATCAACTCCTTGTTTTATTCTTCAGTCATGCAGTCTCCCCCACTAAAGAACATTTCTCAGAGTTTTGATGATGAAGCACTAGGTTATCAAATTTATATCATAGGTACTTTTCTGGCTACTTGCTTTGTGATTTACATGTGTGTCCCACAACTCATGTTTTGGAAATTTAATCCCCAATTCAATAAAGGTAGGAGATGAAGCCTAACAGAAGCTGTTGGGGTCATGGAGGTATTTTTCCTCAGGAGTGAATTAATTGCCCTTATGAAGAGGGTTTGCAAGAGTAGTTTTTCATGCTTCCACCTTCTGCTGTGTGAACAACAGGGAATGCATATATAAAGGCATAATTTCAGAAACAGAGGCAAAGTTTGCAATGCCTTCATCTTGGACCTAGACATGTGAGAAATAAATTTTTATTTTTTGTAAATAGCACAGACCATGATATTTTGTTAGAATAGCCCCAAATCAATTAAGAGCAGCACTGTAGATGAATGATATAAGAAAACATTTTTTTGTACTAACTGTGGTGTGAGGAACACACAAAAAAACATAAATAACAAAGGATAGGGAAGGAGGGAGGGAGGCAAGCAGGGAGGGAGGGAAGGAGGGAGAAAGAGAGAGAGAGAGAATATGTGCAAGAGTCTTGCTAAATGCTTTTATGGCAGAATATAAACTACTTGAGTGATATACATATTACCATGATAGGGAAGGTCTCTGTGAGGAAGTAAGCAGATACGAATGAAATGAAGGAGAGATTCATGTGAATATAAGTTCTCAATTCAAAATATATGCTCATAAAATTAAATGTGAATATAGATAGTTTAGCTATGGAAATAAGATTTCTATTGACAAGTTTTATATCTGTCTTTTAGAATTAAAATTAAAACTTACTATTTCCATAAAGTTTTCCCTAGCAAAAAGTGTTATTTGAAACAGCATTAAGATTTATGCATATCTCTTTTACCTCTAGGTATAAGTCTTTGTGTGTTTTACAATCCCTACAATTGTGGCTTAAAAATAATAAATGCTAAAAATCAAACAAAAACATGAAAGAATTATTCTAAGCTATAGGCATTTTTAAAGGAATATTGTATCGTGATTATTTGCATGTGTTTTTATTTTGAAATAAAATGTCTCCATGTAAGTAGAGCAAAATATTTTAAAATATGTTGTAATATATACTTTCCCAGGAACATGAAAATTAAATTTAGATAGAGAAAAAAAATCTATTTCATCTTACTACATATCCATGGAAGCAAAACCAAATTTCCTCTAAATATTTATGAAGAGAGAGAAGTCAGATCATTCTCACAAAAATACTTTTTTGGCAAAACACTGAAAAGGCAAAGTGTAAAATAATACAAATTACTTACAACCATTTTATTTAGAGACACCCAACAATCTGGTGGGAAATCCTGAAGAAGTGGTACCAAGAATTGAAGACAGCCATCCCAGTGACACAAGAGCAGCATCATGCCGATGAGATTAAATATTCTCACCACTGCACTGGCGAGATCATATGTCATGTGGAATATCTGTTGAACAGAACATAAAATTAACTCTTAATTTTTTTAAACAAGCATACTACCAATATCAGAAGGATTGATATGGTGTAGCATAAGTATTGATTTAAAAAATTAAGGAAAAGATTTTCAGAAATAGAGATTATATTTGTTTGTGTTTTCCAATGTTTGATACTCTGACTTATGAATATTATAATAAACTGTTAATTTTTCACCAGGAATAAAAAGGATAAGAAATTGATGCTTTCAAGAAAACTTCTTTTTCCAACAGTTTTTATTTACTATTTTTCTTCTCATGTTAGTAAAGATACTTTAAAACATAAGTTATTCAATTTGTTGAAAGACAAAAAAAAATATTCAAGGACTGAAAACTATAAGCAAAGAGTTTAACTGAAAAATATAAAGTGAGAGAATAATCTGCAGTTAACTTAACAGCTATGTATGAAAACACTTCTATATTGAAGATGGACAGTGATGTTTAAGTTAAAAGTAATGTGGAGTTGCCTTAAAAACATTTGTACTTATAACAATCTTATACCTATATTTTTATCAAATTTTCATAAAAAGCTATCAAAGTAGGTCAGACTATTTCAGAAAGCACAATGAACATGACAAATCAAGATCTTCCTTTGAAATTTTAAAGGTGGGAACATATATCTGGGTATACATTTACATCTACTCATTTTCTAGTTGTTATAAGAAATAGAATCAGAATGTGGTATTTCTCTTTTGAAGTGTATGGAAGTCACAAGATCAACATCCATAAATTAATAGCTTTCCTATATTCAGCAGTGATTCAGCCAAGAAAGAAATCAGAAAAACTATCCCATTTGTGATAACCTCAAAAAAATTAGATACTTGGGAGTTAATCTAGCCAAGGAGGTAAAAGAGCTCTACAATGAAACTTACAGAACACTAAAGAAATAAATTGAAGAAGACCTTAGAAGTGGGAATATCTGTAATTTTATTGGATAGGCAAAATCAATATTGTTCAATTGGCCTTACTACCAAAAGCAATATACAGATTCAATGCAATCCCCATCAAAATGTTAATGACATTCTTCACAGAATTAGGCAAAACAATTCTTACATTAATTTGGAGGAATAAGAGACCAAAAATAGCTAAAGTGACACTAATCAAGAAAAGAAAAACAAGAGGTGTCATAATACCAACTGTGAAATTATACTATAGAGCTATAGTAACAAAACCAGCAATGGTATTGGCATCAAAATAGATATGAAGACTTATGGAACAGACTAGAAGACACAGAGACAAATCCACATACTAATAGTCATCTAATATTTTACAAAGGTGCCAAACACATATCTTGGAGAAAAGACAGCCTTTTTAACAAAATGTGTTGGGAAAATTCAATAGCTCTACGTAGAAAAATGAAACTAGACCCCTATCTCTCATCCTGCACAAAACTCAAATCAAAATGGATCAAAGCCTTAGTAATTAGAACAGAAACTTTACACCTGCTAGAAGAACATATAGGGTCAACACTCCATATATAGGTGCTGGCACTGAGTTAATAAGACCCCCAAAGTGCAAGAAAAAAATCAAGAATCTGTAAGTAGAATGCCATCAAACTATAAAGTTTCTGCACAGGAAAGAAAGTGATTAAGAGCATGAACAGTGAGCCTAAAACTGAGAGAAAATCTTGGCCAATCACTCCTCCAATAGAGGATTAATTCCAGAATAAGCAAAGCACTAAACACCAAAGCACAAATAACCCAATCAAAAAATGGGCAAAAGAACTAAAAAGAAACTTCTCAAAAACAAAAACACAAATAGCCAAAGGAAAAAATATTCAACATTTCTAACAATCAGGGAAGTGCAAATCAAAATTACACTAAGATTTCATCTCACTCTAGTAAGAATAGCAATGATCAAGAATATAAACAACAATAAATGCTGATGGAGTTGTGGGGAAAATGGAAGGCTTGTACAGAGTTGGTGGGACTGCTAACTAATACAACCACTCTGGGAACCTTATGGAGATTCCTCAAAAAGCTAGGAATGGAACCACCATATGACTCAGATACCCCATTCCTTAGTATTTTCTCCAAAGATCTAATATTGGCATACTACAGCAATGTATCCACCTCCATACTAGAGGAATATATCTGTAATGAGCCATTAAAAAATGAAATTGTGGCATTTGCCAGTAAATGGTTGGAAACGGAGAATATCATCCTAAGCAAAATTAGCCAAACTAAGAAACTCAAAGTTCAAATGCTTTCTTTCATATGCAAAAGCTAGAATAAAATAAAGGAAAAGGAAAAGAAAGGATAGGATAACATAAGGACCCAATCAAACACAAATTAATAGATGAGTGAAAGAAGTCTAGTAGAGGAAGGACAAAAGGAGGGGGAGGGCAGGAGGGAATAGGGAGAGATCATGAGCTGAAATCAATTTCTATGCATGTATGAATTTGTTGTGATGAACTGCTCTACTATGTATAACTATAAAGCTCTAATAAAAAATGTTTATGAAATTTCTCTGCTGCTGTTATTTCACCTTGTTTAAAACAACAAACTAATAACTTAAATTTACAAATAGGAATAAATACACATAAACATCTTGAAATAAAAGTACATGTTGTATAATTCACCAAAAGAATGGTATATCTTTTAATAAAGACAACATGGCTTGAGAAATTATCTACAATAGGTTAAAGAAAACACTGTACAAAATTGATATTTTGACTTAGAAACTATATTTTTGTAAAAAAAAATTCTAGAATTTTTAATATTTGCATACTAACGGTAAACTAACAGTACAAATGTTAATTCACTTTTATAAAATCACCAAATCTACCTTTCATTTTCAGTATGATAGATTTTTATGAGCATTAACTCATTTAAACAATCTTAATTTGGACAAAATAATTGTATTGAGTAAAAAAAATCCATCTTTGTAGGAATGTACATAGTGTCATAGATCCTCTTTAAAGTAAGATGGAGGGTCCTGAGATTTTAAAGGCAACAGATGACACAGTTTAATATTCAGAAAGCTGTAACACAGCAATGTATTTTATAGCATTAAGAATTTTATTTTCCTCTCAGCTAATTTTTATTTATTTATTGTGTATTTGGCAAACCCACATAAAATTCCATTTGGTGTTATTCCCTCCAATATTTCTTGACCATTGAACTTATAAATAAAAACTGTATCATCATTTTCATCATTTTTTAACTAAAAGTAATATAGAGAAAAAAATTTTTGAAAAAAAAATTTACTAATAATGTAGGAAAAGAAATCCACCACAGATTTAGAATGTTCAGTTTAGTAACATAATTCTGCATTCATATTTATTTCTTAAAAAATGGCTGTGAGTTATGTGTGGTATGGCTGCCTAATGTAAAGTTCCGAATCTAGCAGGAAACTTACCTCCTTTTGGTCCAATTATTTGAAGTAAAAAATAACTATCTGAAATTCTCTGCCTAAAGTCTACAAATTATAAGCCTACCAGCAGCAGCCCTCACTCAATGATCACATTTCAGAGTGGAGTCTGGAATGTTCTGGAGAATGAGAGCCAATTCTTAATAAAGTTGACCTTTCACATTTTCTATATTCTTTTAAGGAAGTAGGTTATTTTAAAATGAAATCTTAAATTATTTCAGATTATTTACTAAATTACATGTGTTAGCAGTTATTCGCTCAATTTCTTTAAGAAAACCTTGCTATATCAGAAATGTTGTCCAGAGAAACATAACCACACAGGAAACATTTTCACAGAGGAAGTTAATAAGGATATAAGACCTTTTGTAGTCTACTAGAAAAATGTTTTGTTTCCATGTAATTTCACAAACTATTGCAACAGGATAATTCCTAGATTGGAAGCGATATTCTATCCCACTTCTATTCCCACCAACACAACGTCAGTATATAGCACTTGTTTTACATTTATATACTAACTGCTATACATAAAATACTCACATAATTAATCATACAATGAATCTTCCTTATGGCTTTTAGCATTATGTATTCAATAGTGATCTCAGATTTGGGAGGCATCCCAAAGTCTAACCTTGGAGGAAGTATAAGCAAGCTATTTTAACACTAGCTAATTTCAAATAGTACAAATTATGAATCTATATTTTTATTATCTAAGTGAAAAAACAACATCTTAATGAGTACAATATCATGTTGATGAATACATGAAAATGTGTATGTAGTACCTAGACCCAATCCATGTCCCTTGAGCTCTTATAATTAATATATGTGACTTAAATGCTGAGATCTAATAACTTCAGATTTGGAATGAAATGACATCCTTATGAAATACACCCATCTGTGGATGGTCAGATTATGCAAAAAAAAAAATGATTTAGTTTATCTATTGTTACCACTTCTTAAAAGCCTAAGGGTAGCTCCTGAGATATATCTGTGACTTTACTCATCATACTGAACAACTAGTTAATACAATTAATTAATTAATATTTAAAGTTTTTCATCTAAGTTGTACACTCATAGTTGATAAACTCACATCCAAACCAATGTTACTGCCTACAAACTTGATCTCATTGAAAAAATGGCACCATAGGTGACATGCAGCAACTTATGGAAAGATAAAGGATAAATGGGATTTCATAATGAAAGCACAATAAACCTTTTTATTGTTTTAAAGAAATATTGCATTCTTTTGTTTCTCTTTGTAAATATTCACCCGAAACCTTAATGTATAGATAGATATATGTGTGTGTGTCGGGGTGGGGGTGGGTGTGTATGCCATCTTGACAAAGAATATGAAAAACATTGGGCCTTCAGAATAAGACCTACTGCTAACATGTATTGAAGGCTCAATATGTCCTCATCCTCATCAATGTTAAAATCAATACCTTAAGAGCCCTATTAACACTTTATGAAAATCTTACCCTGAATGTTGTTCATATTATCTGTCCTATCATGCTTAAGGTATGAAGTGTAGAAAGTTCTGGTACGTGAAAGAAACTCTTAGTGATATCTTTGAACAAAGCCTGTGAAGATTGCTGTTATACTAATT